GATACACCCCGTGTGCCTAAACCACCTGTTTCGAAACAGATGGTTTTTAACGGGGCCACACACGGAGCCCTCGATCTAAAGGTCTGATCCACATAGCAGTGGAGCTAATGCTATTTTCACTGTTTCTTCATTTTGTTTTCATAAAACTTTTTACTACTAACTAGATATTTGTCTAATGTATGAGCAGATTTCATCTACCGTGAAAAACTTAAAGTTATAATGTTTTTTATTTCCACCTTTCAGTTTCTACCTGTCACCAAATGCTTTTGCTGGCCAAAGTGAATGGAATCTGCACATGTATGTCGAAGTTTAACATATTAGACATCCTTGTAATTTTCTGAGGTACTGCTTGTAAGTTCAGTTCCTCCCTGAAAACTTTGTGATCGAAAAAGACAAATGAAGAAGAAAGTTAAAGAAAATCAAATAGTAGGAAGTCAATATTCCTGTTTTCCCTAAAACTCGGTTATCCAGCTGGGTAGTTATATAAACCAGTCCTAAGTCTTAAACCCACCTCTAATTATTATCAATGATGTTTAAGAGGCTACGTTATGTCAGCATCTCCACTAAACAGATTTGGATTTTGCAAATATTTTGATAGATTGATCCCTAAAATGTCAGGTAAAGAAAGTGGAGAGCCCTATCGACCGTCAATTGGGATGGCCAATTCAGATGACAGGTTGCCATATGCTCTTGATCAGTAGAATTCGAAACGTTGATATACTTTTTATGCCTTTAAATGACAGCGACTACCATAAATCATGTTGACCAGAAAAGGCAAATGAAGTTTTAATGTTAAGAGCGTCGGTTTGCTTACACCCATAAACTTGACTTGGAGTGGATATTTAGTCAGCTCACTCATGTCTAAAACCAGTTTAGTTTTACCGCGGGTCACTGTCCACAGCCTCCAGTTTAGCATTAGGCTGTTTTCGAAGCTAAGGTTTCGAATACAATATTGGTAAGATTGATTTCTCTGTAGCTTTCATAAGAGGACTTTTGTCGTTCCTGTAAACAGTCAGTACTCTTGAAAAAGTTATTTCACGAGTCTAGGTCTTCTCGAGTCATATCTGTCTTTTCTAATAACATTGACACTGCTACTAGTACTACTCTGGCACCTAGTCCTGACGTGTGGTAACTCAAAGCCACACACATGTGCCAAGTTGTGCGTTGAGTTTGGTTGACTGAGTGTTCGCGACTAACCTGATAGAATTACCTACAGCTACCAGGTTACTGGTACAGTACCTCAATCAATGTAACTGTTGGCACTAAACGTCCATCCATAAAGGAGTTTGTAACTAATCCACCAAGGTTAGGTCTCACTGTTGAGAGTCTAATATCAACCTCACCGCAGCCCTTGATGAAAATGGGTAGCTGGAAAGTACATGTCCCTCAAAACATCCTGTCTTTCCGGTAGTTTGGTTTGAAAACATGTTTTTCAAACATAGTTCTACTGATAGATAACTTTAATTAAAGTTTCTAATGCTTCTACATCGGGTGTGACTCCCTAGGAAGATCGCCGCTGTGGGCATCTGGACAGTATCCCAGCTGTCACACAAATCGGAAGGTTTATGTGTAGCATATCTATTTAGTCCCTCCTTGTACTAATGTTTATGTGTTTAAATAAATAAAGCTTCCACATAGTTGTGTAGGGTCGCCTATTGTCATTACCTTTCTTTGTCACTTATTTTGGTTTCCTATCATTGCTCCATGTAGACTTCTTGTTAGTCTGCTTTTAATTTTCGTTGATGTGTGTAGGTCACTTGGATGAGTTACTGAGGCGTTATCAACTTAGTGGAAGCTTCTTAACCCCATTGGATTGTACTAACCTTTTCGCTTAGTTTGTTAACAAATTTTACTGCTATTTTTACAAAAATTGCTGATGTCCTTGTGCTAAGCATCCTATTTGTAGTCAACTTTAATGATTTGATTGCTCTGCCGTAAATACTTTCTTTACATTTATATCTTATACCTGCTTTCAATAAGATCGTTCGTTTCTGCGGAGACTTAGGGTTAACATCTTGCTATTGACCATCTAAGGAAGTTGGTATGTTGCAATAAGCATACACTCCTTAAAGGTTGTAACTAAATATTTCTCAAATTATTTGAGATGGGATTACTCCTGTAATATGAATTGATATCAATTCTTAGTGTAATTGTCATAAAAGCTATGAAATCTGTTGCTTAATGAAAATTACAGGTATAATGTTTCTTTTTGTATTATAGGTTATAAAGTAAGTATTGGCAAAAGCACACACCGAAGTTTATTGCCTGCAGACTTACGAGCTAAAGGTTATCACTCATTTGACCTTCAATTATTCTAGTAAAGGCAGTTTTACTCTGAAACAGCAGACATCAAGTTAGTTGTGAAAGATGCCATGTATCAGAACCATAACTCCGTGAATTTTTAACACTGCAGTTATCACAAACTCAGTTCTTAACCAACCGAATAAATCTTATTCCTGAATCCGGACTTCATTTTCGTTGTATCTGTGTGGACTTTTTACAATGAGCTGTATTCCCATTTGAGTACTTATAAATGGTTTCACATTTGACGCAAGATGGTTTGTATGTATTGTAAATGATTATATTGGTTCAGTGGTTAGATTACCCAAAGGTTTGATAAGACCCGAATGAAACCTGGGTTGATTTTTATAGAACTGATGAATTGGGCTAGATTCTTATTTAACCTGTTTCACAGTGAGGATTTGTACATTGATCTGCCATTTTTTCCACTTTTCAAGGTTCAAAATATATAATGTTTTGGAAATGGCTGAAAGTTTGAGAAACTTGCCTATTTACAAGAAGGATAGTTTTACTCAGTTCGTCCCTCATTCTCGAAGTACTGAATCCCGAATTACTTACGTTTGTACCTCCAGCCGTAATCGGTCGTGGGTCATTAATGGAGGTCGGCATATGTTTTATGATTTAAGTCTTGATAGCAAAAGGGAAGAGTACATTTCTTCTCAGACGGGGAAAGATGATGTTGAGTGTCCTCCAAATAAAATCCCTCGTCTAAGTGCTTTGTAATTTTCTTATGCCGTATTTAAACCTTTTATTTTGTAGATTATTTATTGTATTTTATCTACTTCAGATATCTGTAAATATTTTTGAAAATCAAATATTACTTCTGAAGTTTTTTCCTTCCTCTTGTTCAAATGGGTAGCTTGAAATATTTAATGTATTTACTCAAATAACTCACTAAAGCCATCCTCTATTCTGTAGTGCAACATGTGGTGAGCCTAATAAATACATTTTAATTCGGTTTTGTTTTTTATGACGGCAGTAAATCTATCTTAGGGCTAAACAGTTAATTCATTAAAATCGTTAGCCAATTATCCTGCCATTATCATTAGATTAATCACATTTTTGCTCTCAATCCAGATATAAGCGCTTTATATATTAAATAAATATCGACGTACAGTGTTTAAATGTAAATCTCAGTTCACCGTCATAACTTGAGAAGTATGTACACTGTTATATCCGTATCATGTGTGGTAGACCACTGACAAACTCAATGCCAATATTAGGCGCTGGATTCGACCTAAAATCGATAAAACTCTAGGACGTTTCTGCTTATCCCAATAGGTCTCCTGCCTCTTCGTAGTTATTTCTTTTTGGTTGTTAACCAAGCTAGATAAGTTGTATTGAAATTTTGATAAACAACTGAAACTTATGTACAAGAAACCGTCAGCCATGCAGTCAACTGGCTGAGTCCATTGGTCTAACCACAGTCGGTGGTTATAACGTGTTCTTTTAATGCTACCAGCATTTCAGTTGGAATAAACATTCCATTTATAGCGTCTTTGTCTCTTTTTCGAATCTATCTTAAAACTGTAAATTAAACTGATACCTAATTTCCTCAGTCATGAGATCTAACACTATTATTTAACCTAACACTTCATTTCGCCAAATTCCCATTTACTCATGCAAATTTTGCTGACTCGATAATTGTTAGTAGTGCACAGGAAACAGTGCAAGTGTAACAAATGTCTAATGAACATAAATATACCTAGTAGCTCTGTTGGTTTACGATTACTGAAATGAAATTGTGTAATCGAACACATCACTATCACGTCATTATTCTTCCTTTCGAACGCTGAAATGCCAGTGACTTCGGTCAGTACATACATTTTTCAGTAAATATAAGCTTTAATTCCGTACAATGTTATCGGACTATTTGAAATGACTTCAAGTAATAAAACCAAACTCGTTAACCGAAGCCTTAATTTCTTATCATTAGGAGCTTCTTAAGTTATTGTGGTATTTACAACCCATTTACTTTATGATAAAATTTCGAAAACAAATCTGCATACTTCTTGAAGGTAAATACAATCTTTTGGCAGAATGGTAGTCGACCGGAAATGTAATTGAGGATGGTTATAAAAGTCTCGGGAACCAGTCGGACAAGATGGCCTGTAATTATTAAAGCGAATCGACTCAATTCTAACGACGTTTGTTAAATAGTGTCACACTTGAACTAGAATTTAGGTATAAGTCCCACTTACTGACAACAATTTGTGGAAGACAGTATCAAAGATGCAAGAAGTTACATCCTTTACAAGACTAAACAGAATTGCCGTGGAACTTGTTAGTCAATTCCAGTACAAAGTTAATACGTATTTGATGAAAACAACTCAATCAGGTTTGTTAAGTGTTAGCGGGACATAGACTAGATTAAAGCATGCTCAATGCATGATTGCTTTGGTGCACGCTGATTGGCTGATTCTTATCCAATCAGCACTAGTCGATAGTCGGAGAATATTCTGGAATCTTCTTACGTAAAAACTATAAATATACCGACGTGTTCCCCTATTGTGCTTCCTACTGGCTTCTGACTTGCTATTTGGAATATAATCTCTTTCTTGTTCAACCGTGTTCTGATTTGGGGACTTGTCGAGTGAATCGGTGTCCGAGAATACTAAGCAATAGGAATAGCTGGGTCATTAACCGTAAGAAAGAGAGAGTTATAACATTAAGAATACAAAAAAGCGTGGTATTTTGCTTCATGCGATTGGTGTTTTAGCGAATAGTTGTTCGAATGCATTATGTATTTCTGGCAACATTTGCGTAGTTATCATAGAACGACCGTATTTAGCGTATGCCAATTGTGAACATTTTCGTGTAAGAGAACAAGCTGCAAATGCAGCTCCAATAGTAGCTGTAAACAGTAGATTCCTAGAAAATTTTAATAATGGAAAAAGAAACAAAAGTTATGTGTATATAATCATAAACGATGTAGCACCTAGTACAAATACCAATTTGCAACAACACACCAAGAAATAGTATTAACTAGACCTCGTTACTTATATATATATATATATATATCGAAGTAAGTTTACTACTGTATTATCAATTTAGGTGGTAAAATTATGCAAAATTTATCGTGCTAAAAATTAGCACACTAGGAAGAAAGAAGGAATGAAAGATGAGAACAATCGTTCCAATAATATTGGAGAAATGGAGGGAAACAATTGCATGAAATAAGAAGTAACGATTAATACGATATTTGAAATTTTAATGAACAGATTTGTATGTGAAACTTAGACTAGTCTCATGCTACCTCAGTTCAAGCTTTTAACCACTGATAACGGACGTCTCATATGCCACAATGTTGACGTGCCTTGGATGTTTTTGTTTGACCGTTCTAATAACTTATACATTCAAACCTTTGTTTTGTAAAGAAGGTTGGAGCGACTAAAATCTGGAATATTCACATTTCGTAAATCGAGTGGCCATATCCTACCGACAAGAAAATAGCATCGAATAAACCCCATCGGACTAGACTCAGCTTTCAATAAATATTCTAATGCCTAATTCATGCAAGAGACGAAGTAGGTATGCGAAACCCGAAGGAAAAATCCTTGTTAGGACTATAATTACATCGTTTGTCGACCTATCTAGATAAGTGGATTTACTAGAATACTTAATATCATTGTTAGGACCTCTTACATTTAAACTTGCAATAGATAAGAAGTTATGAAGGAAAAACCAAGCCATCTTCTTTAAAATATTGAGTTTGGTTCATATTGTTATTCAGTTGATTATAGAATTAATATTCTGTAACTTCTGTTGCACTTACGTGGATGTACGTTTTTGGACAGACAATACGTGACTAACTCTGGGGAGGTTAAACACTGGTCTCACAGGTTCCCAAGGTAAAAACATGAGACATCCTTGACATCGGTAAACGAACAGAAAATTCGAAGCATTTTATTATAATCTTAGAAATAAATAGCAACACTTCGGGATTTTCCCCCAAACTCCTTGTCGTCGGATTTGCAAGTGTTGTAACTAGGGTTCACGAAACGTTTATTACTTTGAATGAAATGCCTTAGCGACAGTCACGACAGTGTACATATATCATCCACTGAATCCTTAATAATTAAAGATTCCATGTTGATATAGTTCTAGTCAACTTAATTCTTTCTTTTTATTGAACTTATTCGACTAAATTAGGTTTTTATACTATTGAGAAATGCGTCAACTTGAATTGTCAAAACATTTGAATAAATTCCTAATTATTCTTTGCCTTTTCATACACACTGACATACCTCCCATATTAACATAGTTAAATGGCTTAGCTATTTACCTTTAAATGGATGCTTAAGGTCAGCTTCATATTCGATTTGTACAAATGGGTAGAAATATTGGTCCATTACACCGTAAATATGTCCTACATTCTAGAATGTGAGCAGGTAATTAGCTTGTGCACCCATGATAAACATAAAAACAACACAGAGACGTTTCCACTTTCATGTTTCACATGAGGAATGTAAATTGAGTACATTTATAACGAAGTACGTCATATGCTTGATATTTTATTGACTGCTAAAAAGCAATTGTAACTTACGGATTGTTATCCTTAAGTTGGTGAAACCAGTAGTTGAAGACTGACATTGTACCAGATAGAACATCGCCCTGTCCACCGCATCTGCGGGGTGATCCTTGATCCACACACTGTACAGCTTTTATTAAATAAAATCAAACGATAAGATGGAATGACGAATATAATTAGTGATGAAACTAAAGAGGTTGGAAGCGAATCTCTAAGTGAGTTCAATATTAATAGGTATGTGTCCATGGGTGAATTTAGTAACAGGATAGCTCTTTACAAACAGGTCATTTTTATTTAAACTTAGCGATTCTCGAACACTTACTACACATACTTCTGTTGCAACATAATAACCCAAAGGAAAGAATAGTAACATTGAAGGACTAGCAATCTGACATCCCGACGGTTGTTGATACCTTGACGTAGTGGTCGGGCTTGCCTATTGTGACGAACTAACCGAGCTATACTGGCTGGAACAACCGTTCCTCAAGGTTCTACCATGTCAGACAGGTCGGTTGAAAAGCGGTAAGACTAAAGGCAACAAACTCAAGGTCCGAAGGCGGAGTCGTACTGCTGACTATACAGAGGTGTGACAGCATTAAGGTGTTTCCTTCGCACAAACAGCATGACAGATATTGCCTACCCACAAGGAGGGTTGTGGTTAGAAAAGGTCAACCCTAAAAATGCACACCACGCCTTATCCCACGGATATCCGTCTCCGGCGGTAAGGTCTCAACAAGTACGGAGCTAACACAAAAATTACTCACAAAGAAGTCGTATGTGACCAACCTCAAGCAGTTGTCCCTTGGGCACTGTGGTCACGCTCTCAGGTCACTAAGAATACCTCCTATTATTCCTCCTGCATCGACTCTCAACTTTAAACTTTCTCATTCGGCTTCCTCCTCAAGTGTCACCATAGCCGACGATTCTAGTGAACAAAACACTGTCCCAGGTCTACTGAAACCTCGCTCCACACTGGAGCCTTTAACGTACACACCCTATGTCAAATCCGTATGTATGATGTATGATGTATGCTGTGTCTCCGAAACACGCATACAGGCTCCCAGTATGGTCATTCACTTGAACTCACCTCGGCAAAAGAGAGCCGACGAGATACACCCTCCATGTATCTGGTGACCCGACGGCCAGCTCTCGTGGACTGGCAGGAGTAAGGATAGCACTTAGCATGAGGTCGGAACAAGCACTGTTAGAGTGGATCCCCGTTAACAGCCGTTTATGTGCTGTTCGGCTAAACGGCTCCGTAAGAACTCGAAAGGATAGGGACACACGTCGTTCCCTTTTTGTCGTTTCTGCCTACGCTCCCACTGACTGCAGCACGGATGAAGTGAAAGATGAATTTTACAGAAAGCTAAACTTTCAGACATAGTACTGGTAGGGGGTGACGTTAATGCCCAGATAGGTAGTTTAAACCAAACAGAAAGTCATTTAGGTGGGTATATTAGTATTCTGGCACAGCGAACAGATAATGGTGATCTTCTGTTGCAACTGTGCTCAGACAATCGTTTATTCTTAGCAAAAATAAATCGTCAGCATAAGGAAAGACATCGTCTAACATGGCGACCCCCTACACCAAACCAATGATGGACTCAAATAGACCATATTGCCATCAGTCATCGTTGGAGAGGGTCGATTGAAGATTGTCACTCATTCTAGAGTACCTGCTTGGACTCCTACCATGCCCTAATACGGGCATGGTGCCTCACTAGACGCAAAAAAGCCACACTAAAAAGACCCATTAGAACTGAATTGAATAACGAGAAAATCAAAAGTAGGTTCCAAGAACAGCTGAAGTCGCACTTAGGTAGTTCTGAAAACGAAGCTGACTCAGATGTTGCTTGGAAAAATATACAAGCAGCTGTGGAAACAGCAGTGACATCTAATAGTGATTTAAACCATAAGCCTAGAAAGAACCAATGGATTTCTTCAAGGTCTATTGAACTGATGGATTCTCGTAAACTCATCCCATCAGGTTCTGAACACGATGAAGAGCGTAAACAAATCAGATCTAGGTTAAGCAAATGTCTAGAGAACGACCGTGAGCAGTGGTGGGCAACGAAAGAAAAAAAGATGGAAAAGACTGCAGTTATAGGGAACACAAGATAGCTCTATAGACTAATAAAAGAAACTGGAATTAATAAGTCAAGTGTAAGTCAGACTATCTCGATAAAAGACGACACTCTCAACTGCTCCCAGTCCAGACGTTTAGAACGATGGGTGGAACATTTTAGATAACGGTTCGGTTGGCCTTCAGCTACTCTACAACTACCCTCCATTCACAGACAGTGTGAATGGAACATTGAAGTAGGTCTCCCAATTCTAGCTGAAGTTCAAAAGGCCATAGTTAATTTGATACAAGGAAGGGCAGCTGGTCCAGATGGATTGGCTCCAGAGGTCTTTAAGGATGGTGATCCAATCTTAGTGATTAGGTTGACTAATATTTTAGCTAAGACCTGGGAATTAGACGTTATTCCATCTGACTGGTCACAATCACTTATCGTCCCAACATATAAGAGAGGGTCGAAATCATCCTGTGAAAATTATAGAGGGATTAGTTTAACTAATATAGTATCTAAAATACTAGCCTCGATAATTATCGGACGCCTAACTAAGACTCGTGAACTGCAAACACGAGAGAATCAAGCTGGCTTCAGAACTGGTCTTGGCTGCATTGACCACATATTCACCATTCGTCAGGTTCTAGAACACAGGCATGCTTATCGGCGTCCGACAATGGTGGTCTTTCTTGACCTAAAGGTAGCATTTGACTCTGTAGACCGAGAGGTTCTGTGGCAGTGTCTGTCATTGAAAGGCGTACCTCAGAAGTACATAAACCTTGTGAAGGGTCTTTACTCGGACACTACTAGTCGAGTCAGAGCTTATGGCGAACTGTCATCTGCTTTTGCAACCTCAAATGGTGTTCGTCAAGGCTGTCCACTTTCTCCCTTTTTGTTTAACTTCACCATAGACTTACTGATGGAAATAACATTTTCGTCTACTGAATTCTCGGGTATTGATCTCCTTCCAGGAGGTCCACTTATCGACTTAGAACACACAGATGACATAGTCCTGTTGGTGAAGACGCTGATAAAATGCAGTCTTCTGGTAGCACTAAGCAACAATGCCAGAATGTTTGGAATGCACTTCTCTCCCTCTAAATGCAAGTTGTTGCTTCAGGAGTGGTCTGCGTCAACACCTGAACTTAGGATAGGGAGTGAAGTAGTCGAACGTGTTGACAACTTCACTTATCTTGGAAGTCTGATCAGCCCTAATGGGTTGGTGTCTGACGAAATCTCAGCACTGATTCGAAAACTCGTTTGGCTTTGCCAACTTACGTCACCAAATGTGGCGAAGGCGAGATATCCGTCTATCAATAAAAAGACGAGTATATTGCTCGGCAGTTCGTTCTATTTTACTTTACGGCAGCGAAACATGGCCATCAAGAGTAGAAGACACTCGTAAGCTACTGGTATTTGACCACAGATGCCTTAGAAGTATTGCCAGTATCTGCTGGGATCACCGGGTAAGTATTAGTGAGGTTAGACTCAGGGTATTACGGAATGATGGTAAATCAGTTGATGAGGTTGTGAATCTTCACCGACTGAGATGGTTGGGTCACGTGTTGCGTATGCCTGAACACCGATTACCACGACATGCAATGCTAACCGCTGTTGGGGATGGTTGGAAGAATGTTAGGGGCGGTCAAACCAAAACGTGGCATCAGTGATTGAAGACATTAACTTCTAGTCTGAGCCATGTTGGTAGATGCAGACTACTTGGTTGGGATCCGCGTGAGTATCGTGACCAATGGTTGGAGACTCTTGATGACATGGCTCAGAATTGATAGCAATGGCGTAGGTGTATACACTGTCTGTCTTCACTTAAGCTAAGAGATTAAAATCACTTCATATCTTTCTTTCTACGAACTAATTATTTCTTCCTGTACTATATCCTTATATACAATCTTTCTTTTATATATTAATACCATTGACTTAACCACTCCTATGGATCCACTGTTCATATTGTTGTGCAAATGAGGTATGGCAACGTGGACCGATGCATATATGTGCCTGGTCCTACGTTGTAGCTGACTGGCTGATTGAATCTGACAATGAACGATTCAGGTATTTCTGGATAGACAAATACGCTATATAATATAATTATAAATAAATTTTATAGCGGTTTTATTTCAAACTAATTAGAAGAACAAAACATTCGTAACATATGAATAATTCCTTGATCTATATTTTAACAAAGCATATTATGAGATACTTATAGATATATTGAACATTTTGTGATTTCAGTGGATAAAAAACTTATGGAAAAATGTAAAGCAGTTGGAATTTTTAGGAATGAATGTTGCTACCCAACATTTTCCGTTTTTAGGGTTATATTTTATGGTTCTAAATAATAAAGCAATTTTATCAGTCGAAAAATTACTAAAAATATGGACTTAAAAGTTAACCCACAAAAGTGATTTATGTAAGCAGTTGTCATTAAATATACTTTTCAGTATATGGTTATGGAGATTGTTGAGTTTTCATTAAGACAATGAACCGATCAGTGTTAGATCACCATTGAAGAACTAAAATCGCTGGACGGCCGATTCGTCCCAGTATGGGACTCTTCCGCAGTGCACATCCACGAACCCGCCTTGCGAGATTTGAACCCAGGACCTATCGGTCTCGCGCGCGTACCCTTAATCTCTAGACCCCTAAGCCGGCATCCAACGGTGTTAATGTTTAACTACAACCAATCCACGATATTGCGCGAGTGTCCTACATTGTCTTCAGTAAGTAACTGCCCCACACCAGACACGGTTGAACCATGCTGGTCACGGATTTTCACTAGAACTCCAGAGAATTCATCTTGAAGTTAGCCACTAGTAAGTGCATGATAATTATCAGTATAGGGTTGTGGAGATGGCTGAGTTTTGATTGAGATCATACTTTTGTCAGTACGGAGTTTCAAAGATTGTTGAATTTCATTGGAATCATGGACCGATCTGAGTTAGACAACCACTGAAAACCTGGAAGCACTAGGCGGCCGTTTCATCTTAGTGTGCGACTCCTTAGCGATGGGCACCCATGACTCCACATGTGAGAATGGTATTCAAAACCTTCGTTCATGCACAAAAACACTTGATCTTTAGACCGCTTTTTGGTCCCCAAATGCCGTAAATACGGCTGAGGGTGGGGAGAGTTAACCACGCGTGTACAGCTACTGTTAGGGAAGATCTACTCACTGCCTTCTCGCGACGAGGGTTTTGTTTACGGAATTGAGAGGACGAAAGGCGGATGTCTAGCGCTTTAACCAGACTCACGGGCACAGGGGGTCCACCTAGGGGAGTTGGAAAATCCTGACTCCAAACCAATGATGCACATGAGCTCCAGGATTCTGAAGGAACAAGTGGCGTATGAACCAATCGTCGGTCACTGACTACCATGGGACTGGATCTCCTGACGTCGCTCCACTGCCTTGTGCATCAGACCTTTAGGTCGAAGGCTCCGGGCGTGGCCTTTTAGGAGAACCACCTGCTTCTGACTGGGCAATATCATAGCCCACACATGGATCAAGTAACTTGTGTGGTGCATATGTATTAAGTGCCCCTTTGTACCAATATTTATGTCTTCAGACTAATAAGTAATATACCATTTAGCCGGCATCCAATGGTGTAAATGTCTAACTTAAATCGGCTTATGATTTCAATGTAATTCAACAACCTCCAGAACCTCATACTGACAATTATCATTTGCTCACTAGTGACCAGAGAACAAAATTTCGGAGTTTCAGTAGGAAGCCGTGGTTATTGGAGCTAAACCGTGTCAGGTGTGATGGAGTTACCCAACAAAGACAACAGATGGTCGCGCAATGTCGCGGGTTGATGGAAGTTAGACATAAACACTACTGGATTCCGGCTCAATAGTCTAAAGATCAAGTGTTTTTGTGCACGAAGGTCTTGAGTTCCATTCCCATATGCGGGGTCGTGGGTGCCCATCGCTAGGGAGCCGCACACTAAGATGAAACGGCCACCCAGTGCTTCCAGGTTTTCAGTGGTTGTCTAACTCAGATCGGTTTATGATTCCAATGAAATCTTACTTGTCTTGAATTACTTGGAACTATGTTAACCAATAAAATAATTACAGTTCGACAACTATTAACATAAGGACTACACCACTTATTGAGTAGTTAATAATCCCGTCTTGATATCTGAGTCTTTGTAACTAGATCGAGATTTCACCTAAATAATTTCCTGGTTTAAGGTTGGTGGCAGAAGACCTACGTTGATTAAGATGAACTGAAAAGTGAGGATTTAGATTTTTATTACTCAGAAAAATTTGGAAATATGAATAGATGATATTAAGAGAATAGATGGTAGTTGCCATTAGACCACAATAAAATCAAAGGGATCTTTTAGAACAGTATAACGCAAATGAAATGGTCGATTTGCTACATCTTTGCGCGTTGCAGAAATTATCATGATGAAACAAACACGTGCAAACAAAGATGTGTAGGGTCTTTATTATGGTATGGTATATTTAGATGCTTTGAAGATGCATCTGGAACGCTGGACAAATGTATACACTATTTGTAATTGAGATTTCAATTGTCTAAAGACTCAACTAAGTCAGTGTGGTAAATTCTCCGGTGACCGAACACTTTTTAGACAAACACTAGTTACAATCAAAATTAAATGAAGTATTGGACCAGTTTTTCAGAGAACTTTCTGCTATTCTATAAAGAGCCGGACGCTTGGAAGTTATAATTGTAGCAGGAAAACTTAACGCCCACGTAGGTAGTCTAAAATAAAGTGATAGGTACTTATGGGGGTCCCAGTGTCCCAGCTCAATGAACAGACAAGAGGAACCGTCTGCTACATTTTTTTAAATATTGGATGCGCACTGCCGAGATGTCCCACAGTAAGACGAAACGGCCGTCCAGTGCTTCCAGGTTTTTCGTGGTGGTCAAGCTTCAATTGACTGATCTCAACTATTGAAGTTTTTCTTTTGAATCGTATCTTTGATACCTAGTCTTTTCTATTACCATTGATACTGTTACTACCTCTCCCATTCTGGGATTTGGTATGACAATTTCATCCCACTACTTTAATGAGGTCTGATAACTTGGACAGTTGTACATACGTACTAGGTTCTACATTGTGACTGAATGATGGTCTGCTAAACTGATAGATGCTCAACCCATTAGGCCGCGAACAAGATAATGAGTGAAGGCAATTCAAGCGTAGACTATCAAAAGTATATGCAATGATCGGGAACAAAGGTAGGCAGCTAAAGCAAGAGCAATTGAAAATAAGTTAGAGTTAGGCAACAGTAATTAACTTTACATACTTATAAAAGAAACAGGTATTTAAAATCAAGGAGTTAGTGGAATTAGTTCTGAAAGAAAATTATCTGCTATTAATCGAAGGGACGGGAACGATAAAAGAAATACTTCGAAGAACTGATTACCTGCTCTCCAAATACCTTTCATTTCCTTACCTTCACTAAGTAATCTGAATAGGATTTCAGCATAAGCCTCCTGACTCTTAATAAAGTAGGAAAATCCATAGCCTATATAAAGTGATGAAGATAAACATGCTTTGATGGATCAACCCCAGAGATCTTTAAGATTGTTGGTCTAGTTCTAGCTGTCAAATTGACTGGGATATTAACTAGTCTGGGAACTGGACGAAATCCTACTTGGCTAATTGCGATCGTTGACCACTGCAGTGTATGAGTAGAAACATTTTTGATTAAAAAGAGGAGTGTTGGGGACGATAGATCCCCAAAACTCAAATTTTGTAATTTACTTATCGATTAAATGTGCAGATAGGTCAATTGATGAACTATCGATTAAATGTACAAATAGCAGTCAATTGTTGATTAATGTTCAAAAACCTTCCATGACAATATCGATTGTAAATATTTGTATAAATACGCTTGACTTGTATGCTTGATCTGATCTGCCTGCCTGACTTGTTATCTGCTGTTTGTCTGTAGAATACACTTTCTACACCTTACCCAGACTTCTTGATCGAGTTAGCAGAGTTGGGGACAACGGACCAGAATAGTCTATCGAGATTCTGAATCCTTGATCCGATCGATAAGTCACTGTCATATAATCGGCTGTCTCCTTGAGACATAACAAGGAGTCAGTTTTAATAATATATAATCTAAAGAACCGGCCCAAATAATTATCAGGACCCATAATAGGAACCATGGAGAAGAATATTGGGAAATTTAAATTTTATGATAATCATTCGATTTATTCTTGCATTATCTCCTTGCGTGTTTAAAGGTGATAGGAAAAATACGTCAGTCCTTGAAAACTATTACGACTACACGAAGCGTTTAGCTAATACTATACAAAGGCTTTCTTCTGAGCGGCATACATAAAGAGATGCATCATTATCAAGACATAAGTAACAGAAATTAATACGCTTACAGAGGATTTACAGTAATATATTGAACGCAATTTCGTAGAAAAGCAATATATTATCAGGAAAATTACTTGTTTGACCATTTGATATAATATCTGTAGGACCTTTATGGACAATGGTGACACCAAGTTTTTCAGCAAGAGATCTTGTCGCATCTTTGGTATCATATGGTTGAGACGAAAACTGAATAAATGCGTTGAGTACATTATTGACATAATTACCACAGAGTAATATAATCTTGAAAACTCAACAGTGTTTGGAGTAAGAATAGTTTTATCATAACCTTCTATGAGTGATGGATTTTGAGTAACGATATGCAAAGCATCAGCATCAATGACAATAGGCTTGTTAGAATGCTTGCAATAATCTATCAGCTACAAAGTACTAGTATTTAAAAGTAAATGATAATAAAAAGAACTTTTGTAGTATTTTCAACATTTTCTGTTAGTCCCAGACCAGGTCCAAATGTAATTGCATGAACTCTGTCCATACATTTGGTCGCTTCTGCTAGAACTCCATCCCTAGAAATTAGGTAGTAATATGGACTGTTTATAGAGAATTACAGAACAGGATGAACGATCAATTCGGGACTATATGACTTGATAACAGGAGAGGAAGAAGCAGAACATACTACATGAACTAAATCAGCACCCTAGAATTTATATTACTTGTGTATGTTAACTTACACAATGCAAAGCACTAATAGCGGAAAAGTATGGTGCTCCAGTATATCTGCTAACTATCAACAATACATGCATGAACTGACTCTTTTGATCCTCCCACTACAGCAATTCTTCCCATTTGACCTTTATGAAGACCATGTGTTAACTGAGGAATAATATTAGCTATGTCGTCAATCATAATACAGTAGCGTGGCCACAAACACCGATTACACCACTGAAAGTAGGAACATCTGTAAGGAAAATCAAATAGGGCTTTTAAGCCAATTAATAAAGAGTGCTGAGCTTAATCGCTTAATAGTGACTTATTGTCTGAAGTGTTTTAGATTCATAGTAAAACTTTAACAGGCGAACGATAAACCTAAGTTAGTGAATCCAATTAAAAGACTAGACAGTGAGACTATAATTTATGGAGGACCGTTGGGCAACACCAGGATTAGTTTCGTACAGGAAAGGTACGTCAGTTAGTTACAACGTAGGACCAGGCACATATGTGCATCGGTCCAAGTTGCCACACCTCATTAGCACAGCAATATGAACACCAAATTCATAGAAGCAATTAACTCAACGGTGTAATATATAAAGGAAAGATTGCATATAAGGGTATAATACGACGCTCTTGTCTGCTCCCAGTCCAGACGTTTAGAACGATGGGTGGAACATTTTAGATAACGGTTCGGTTGGCCTTCAGCTACTCTACAACTACCCTCCATTCACAGACAGTGTGAATGGAACATTGAAGTAGGTCTCCCAATTCTAGCTGAAGTTCAAAAGGCCATAGTTAATTTGATACAAGGAAGGGCAGCTGGTCCAGATGGATTGGCTCCAGAGGTCTTTAAGGATGGTGATCCAATCTTAGTGATTAGGTTGACTAATATTTTAGCTAAGACCTGGGAATTAGACGTTATTCCATCTGACTGGTCACAATCACTTATCGTCCCAACATATAAGAGAGGGTCGAAATCATCCTGTGAAAATTATAGAGGGATTAGTTTAACTAATATAGTATCTAAAATACTAGCCTCGATAATTATCGGACGCCTAACTAAGACTCGTGAACTGCAAACACGAGAGAATCAAGCTGGCTTCAGAACTGGTCTTGGCTGCATTGACCACATATTCACCATTCGTCAGGTTCTAGAACACAGGCATGCTTATCGGCGTCCGACAATGGTGGTCTTTCTTGACCTAAAGGTAGCATTTGACTCTGTAGACCGAGAGGTTCTGTGGCAGTGTCTGTCATTGAAAGGCGTACCTCAGAAGTACATGAGGCTTGACGACCTGTGTTAGTTCTGGCAATGGCGGTCTCTCCGTCGACCCTAGTTCCTTTTGAAAGTATCGACAGATAGAGCGTCAATCATCTGTTGGAAGACGAATTCCATTCGTTGATGATTTAGTGGGAAAATTGATAATCAACTGACAAATAATTTGTTCTGACCTTGTGAGCTTTTTTAGTGTCCTCGTAAATCCACTGATTTGAAGGACAAGAAAAGTGAGCGCATATCAGATGCGAATTTATCGATAAGTAATCTAAAAATTGTGATCGAGTCACTTTTAGTTTTTCTATGACGATGGAAATAGGCTTAGTTTAGCCAGTCGAGTATCAAATGGGAGCATTTCTATTCTAGAAATCAGCTTAGTTGCGGTTGCTCGAATCTTTCACAACGGCTCACTGTCTCCTTTTAGTCAAGAACTAGCCACTTGTATGCAGTACTCGAGTTTAGGACTAACGAATAACGTATAAAAAGTTTCTAGCATCGACATAGCTAAAGGCTCTACATAATGATCATAGGATTCTAAAACCTTTGTAGGCTATCATATGGCAGTGTGCAGTAGTTTTTAAGCCTTGGACAACTGTGAATCTTAAGCCAAGGTGTGTCTGGGCAATAGGTAGTTCAATGTTATTCACTGTGTATGTATCTGTACCTTGAAGACGGTGAGACTCTAATTTAGCGACGAGCCAATCAGAAGCGTTTGAGCACCCTAACCTCTAAAATCTGTTGTAAACTGATCGCATATTAGCACCCTAACCTTAACTTTAACCCTAGGCTACAACCCTAACCTCTAACCCTAAACCCTACGGACGGGTTTCTATACCATATGCATTATGAATTCAGAACCTTTATCAAACCTTAACAAGTTTTTAAATCATGTAAAAAAAGAATATCCACTGTAATTCAGAAGACAGTTGATTTATCTGTGCTAGCAAAAAGAGAAATGCAACTCACGTAACGTAGCAATACAGTATAGCGCCAACAATTCAAGTGGTTTAAAATGGTTCTGGACGGAATAGATAAGCTTTCGCTTAAATAGCTTCCGTATCTAATGGAAGTGGATCACCTTTAGAATGCGAAGTCTGCAACATGACCTAGATGGACTACTTTACACTTTTAAGTGTTAGACGTTTATTGTTGTCCGCCTAGATTTGAAGTCAAGTCAGATCCTGCTAAAATGCCAGCTTATCATCTTGATTCAAACTTCTCGACAAAGTTCCACATCATCAGCGAAAAGTAATGAACGGCAGGACACTTTCTGAGAAGGGTCATTTATGTAAATTGAGAAAAGATTTTCTAGTGCTCAACATTGAGGAACCTGTGGAGATATATCTGACAAGCTTATTTTGTAAATAGTTTTTAATATTATTTGTATTTGTCCATTTCTCACTGAATGTACATTTATCATTAAATGATTGTACCTGTTGTTTAAGTAAATGACCTTGAAGACTTTTTCCGTTGTGTTACTAACATAGCGTGACATTTTCAGTTGTTCACAAATACACTACTACGCACATACCCATTGTTCTATTGTCGTTCGTTACCAAGTCAATTGCGTTCTAAACTGGAGATTATCCTCATTTCAGACTGCTGTGTCATTTCCATTATATCCTATGTCAAAGAAACTTATTGGCGTCATATTTACCTCTGTGGAATTATTACGCATTTATAATTGTGGAATTTTGAGACCAAGACTCAACAGAACACGCAACGACTAGCCGATTTAAGTAACGTCCCTAATTTGTTATTGTATTTGTAACATTTAACTTGTAAATATTAATATTACTATTGATTGTTAGTAACTTTGTTGATACTTTTGCGTTAATATATTGTTTGGTCCACCACAATTATTTGGTGAGCCTCGTTTTTTTTATATAGACATTTACCTTATATATCTGCATATTTTTTTATTATTATTACCTGGCACGACACCATTTTTTTTGTTTTTGTCATTATGAACTCTCCGGCTGAACTTATTGATATTGATAGTTCACCGACCAATCTTCTAAACTCTCCACAACCAGAGGATAATGCTTTAAACTCGATCAACGCTATCTCAGAGTTAAGATTACCAACGTATTGTATTAATAATCCAAGAATCTGGTTTGCTCAGATTGAAGCTTTATTCATGGCTAGAGGCATAAAATCTCAGGCATCAAAGCATGCATACGTAGTCGGTGCACTTCCTGTTGAGATTGCCGCTGAAGTTGGAGATCTAATCGATCACGTGCCAGAATCTGAACCATACGATAAGATAAAAGCAGCAGTTATTCAACGCACCACGGTCTCAGATGAGAAAAGGCTGCAACAATTGCTAACGTCTTGTGACTTGGGAGATAAAAGACCCTCTCAACTTCTCCGTCACATGAAACAACTCGCCGGTCCATACAAGCTAGACGAAGCCCTTCTTAAGCAAATGTGGTTTCAAAGATTACCACACAGCGTTAGACAAATTCTCAGTGTTTCAGGGAAATCTGTTGCAATTAATGACTTAGCCGACATGGCGGATAAAATGATGGAAGTCTACCATGATAGTCACGGTGTGAACTCATTGCAACCACCTGGACCACTAGATATTAGTTGTTTAGCCTCCTTTCAAAAGCAGTTAACGCATTTAACGAGCCAGCTAGCGTCTCTGCAATCAACCATAGCAACCATCCAAGCTAGACAATCGAGATCCCCCTCCAGACGAAGATCTTTTTCTAGACAACGATCTAGTTCACCGAAGCGAACATATGATGTTTGTTGGTACCACCAAAAATACGGCACCAAAGCACGGCGTTGTACACGACCGTGCACATTTTCTGCGTCTGACACAGAGAATCAGGGAAACGGACCGGCCAGACAGTGATGGCGGCGCCTGTTTCTGGCCACTACCCGAGCCGTCTATTTCATGTCAGGGATCGAATTTCGGGCTCAGATTTTTTGGTCGATACGGGAGCCGAAATCAGCATTATCCCATTACACCTCTCTCAACGACGGCACCCTCAGAGTACTAAATTGTCTCTAGTCGCAGCCAATAACACAGTCATTAAGACTTATGGCGAACAATCACTTATTTTAGATCTCGGTCTCCGGAGACGTTTCACATGGGTTTTCATCGTAGCTGAAATCAAACAACCCATTATCGGGGCCGATTTTCTCGGTGCTTACAACCTACTTGTAGATATGGCAAAAAAGAAACTAATCGACAAAAACACAAGCTTACAGGTCAGTGGCACAACTATCTCCAGTTACGAAATTCATGGAGTCCGTATGTTAAGACCTGAAAACAAAATTTTCACCGATATCCTGTCGAAGTATGAAAGTATAACCAGAGCTGATTACCAAAACGAATGCTCCACACATCATGTCCAACACAGTATTACTACTACAGGACCACCTATCCGCGCCAGGGCGAGACGACTCCCTCCAAACAAGTTGCAGTTCGCTAAGAGAGAATTCGAACATATGATGCAACTTGGGATAATCAGACAATCTAACAGCCCTTGGGCCTCGCCGCTGCATATGGTTCCCAAGAAAGATCAAGACTGGCGCCCATGTGGAGATTACCGCCGTTTGAATAACCAGACTATCCCAGACCGGTATCCGATACCTCACCTGCATGATTTTTCTTTAAATCTACATGGAAAACAGATTTTTTCAAAGTTAGATCTAGTCCGAGCATACCATCAAATACCGATGGCACCTGAGGATATCGAGAAAACAGCCGTAATCACACCTTTTGGCTTGTTTGAGTTCTTGAGGATGCCTTTCGGACTAAAAAACGCCGCTCAAACCTTCCAGAGATTTATGGACGAAGTAACTAGAGGTTTGGATTTCGTATTTGTCTATATCGACGATGTTTTAATCGCTAGTTCTTCCATTGACGAACATGTTCAGCACCTACACACACTTTTTGAACGTT